AAAGAAAAGCCTTTGTAGCAAGCGACTGGACATAGATCGATTGCCGCATTGACAATGTGTGTGTTGTATAGCGCTTGTTGCATGCAACAAATATGCAAGCTGGCACAAGAGACGTTGTTGCTAGTGGTGCATTTGTCGTCATCGTAAACATGCATAAATTATGCAAAAGTTGAGGCGTTTAGCAGAAATCATGTCGCTTAGTTGTTGCTGCTGCATGCACACTCATACACACATAAATTTAAGCGTTGCCACTACTTACTGCTGTTGCTACTGCAAGTCAAGTGTTTGTGTCACAAGGCATGCAAACACACGCAAACAAACAAAAAAAAAAAAGAAAAAAACAGCGGCTGCTTATCAGCATGCAATCTTTGTGACACTTTTTCTGCCGCTCCAACGGCAATTGTTGCTGTTTGTTGCCAATGATCTCGCCTTGCCTCTGTTGGTTGGTTGACCACAGCCAGTACGGCACTTGGTATGCAATTGCGTTTGCGTGGCAACAAATGTTGCTTGCTTGCGGCTGACAGCGTTGCATGCTACTGTTTTTCTTCGACTTCTTCCTCGTTTTGTGAAAAAGTTGCTACAAATGCATTGCCATCTAACAAGGCACAATTATCGCGTGAACATGCTTTGCGGCGGTGGAAGGAAATTCATATGTACATATGTATGTGTGCACGTCTGCGATTTGGCCGCATGCAATCACTGTTTTGTTGATAATGCAATGATATATTAAACGGTTGGTGTTTTTGTAACATTTAACTCTCTGGTATTTGAAAGGAAAGAAATAAATGTTTTAAATTATGTGCTGAAAAACAAGCTTTGAAATTAATTTGGAACTTAGATTGTCATCAGTGAATGCAAGAGGCACACCCACAAAATCTGTGTATGTATGTGTCTATGTATGTAATATGATTATTATATTTTCGGTGTCTAGTATTTTTTGTTTTTAAATTCCAGGTTTTGAAAAAAAAAACAAAAACCTAAGACTAGTTTGAAGTAAAGTTGTCTGTCTGTTCTGTTGTTTATATTTATTCACTGATTCCAAATTAATATGGCAAGTGACATGCTTAAGTGGCACGTCCAAATTTCAAATTGTATTACCGATAGACTGCGGATTTTTATGCAGAAAACGGCGCCTAAAAATATATACCACTTAACTATAAGCAAAATGTATAGAAATTTATACACTTTGTTTATAGTTATGTGGTACATATTTCTAGGCTCAATATTTTGCATAAAAATCCGCAGTATAATTATCGAAGTGAGCGTTCGTTAGTAAAAACGTTGCATGCATTAGGCTCACTCACAATTGAGCTTTCGGCTTGCCAGCGTTTGGTGCCCAAACTTTAGACGACCGGTTTGTTAACAATCGGCTAAAACCCTTACTTCAAAGGAACGCGAGGTCGGCCAAGAATATCGCCTTGGTTCGCGAAAGTGCCCAAGAGATCCCAAGGCAATCCAATCTCGCCGTGTACATGAACTCGGCCTGTACTTTCTGTACTTTTTCTCTTAAATAAACTTTTTAAGGATAAAATTTATTGAAATAAATGCAAGAAGAAAGCTTTAGCTTTTTTCCCGAGAGAAGAAAGTGACACTAAAAAAACGCAACTCGTGATATTTTCTCATATAGATAGTATAGGGTCGCGATGCTGGTAATAGAGAAAGACTAGATGGTGAAAGACTCAGCATTACTTGGCATTTCCGGTTGGCGCCAGTAAGCACAGAAGAGAAATGACTAGGGTGCTTTGTTGCATCGCTTATGTAGTTACAGCGCCAATCAAAAAGGAAAACAAATTAGAGAAGCCTAAAGCAAGACGTGTCCTTGGAATCGTGATCTTATTGGTACATTTTTAAATTTCTAAATATTTTTTTGCAACCCATAAAAAACTAAATCTTTGGCGAATTAACAACGATTAAAATCTTCTTACTTAACAATCAACCAATAAGCGACATAGTGATCACAATTCATAGCAAGAGCACTAATGAACATAGAGTACCTAAGTAACAGGACAAAAAATCGCTATTTTATCTTAAAAGAACCATGCGCGGCATTTGTTGCTAAGTTTGATTCTTTATATGCTAGTTATATTTGTAAATATATTGCGACAACATTTGTCTTGCAAACTTTGCTTTCTTACAGTTTCAAGTTCAACAGCTTAGCGCTCTATTTTTGATTTTTGCGCAGCCGTAAGAATTTGCCATAAAGTCAATGATGTACGCGTCTACATTTAAATAACTACAACGCCTTCGCAACAAGTTTATCTATTCTTTCTGAGGCAGAAGCTAAAAAACGTAGAAGCTTATCTGATTGCTTGCGTCTGCAAACTTTTATTGTTGTCGAACTTGAAGAATTTTTTTTTTAGCTACAAGTCCATTTAGTTGTTTAACATTTTGTAGGTACATATTTTTGCAACTTCTTCTTTGCCTACGGTGACCATCCGTCCTGTATTATACGCGACAGTCCTCTTTTTTGACCAATTGTCCTGGTAATTTATTAATTTTATACGGGACGCCAAATGTTCTGTATTTCTTTTGATGTCCTGCATTTGTCCCGTATTCGGTGTTCGGTATTTCGACGCCTTAACAGCTCCTTAAAATGGCATGCCACGAACCAGTTTTAAGAGATGTTGGTATATGTATGATCGTAATTTTCTCCATAAACAGTTATTATTTTCTAACCCGAATGACTGTGATTGTAATCGAGGGATACATACAGTGTCCAAAATACAAATTAGGACTCGACATTTTAGCAAGGTTTGGCTATTTGTCTTTAGTGTATTTAATGTTTACTATTTTTTTGTGAAAGTAAAGCTCTTTTCTTAACAAACGACATATAAATCCAAATTTCAGACTTTGTGCAAAAAACTCTAAAAACTAATTCTGCAATATTTCACTAAAATTTTAAACTTTTTAGTTAGAATCTTAAAAAAAAATTGGTTTGCAGTTTTGTAACTCATTAAAATTTAGTATAATAAAGTGCAAGTGGAAAGTGCTGCTCATTTTCTTCTCTTTTAAAATGTTGTCGAACATACTTTGTATGAAAAAAATTTGTAACACCGTCTAAAAACAAAACTGCCAAAAATTAACGGTAAGTCCTACCGGCTTAAAAATTGCACTTTATTGTACTAAATTTAACGAATCTTTTTAAACAAATTTTGCGCGGTAAAAAGCTCGAGAAGAATATCCTACAAATTTGTGATGTTACTATAAGGATGCTGTTTCAGGCATAATACATCTAGCTCTGTAGGTTTTTTTTTTTGCAAAAAATATGCAGAATTATTTTTTGTCCCGTATTC